TTTATCTCATGAAATCACGGGATGAAGTACCGATCATTGTGAAAAATTTTTATGAACTCATCTTCACCCAGTTTAATACTCGTATCAAAATATTTCACTCTAACAATGCTAAGGAGTATTTTGAGAAAACTCTCTCCACCTACCTTGAAACTTTTGGGGTTATTCATCAAAGCTCTTGTTCCTACACTCCACAACAAAACGGGGAAAAGAAAGAACATACATGTGGTTGAGGTTGCCAAATCCCTTTTATTTGCATCCCATGTTCCTGTAAGGTTTTGGGGAGATGYTRTTCATACTGCTACCTACCTAATCAACCGTATGCCCTCCAGGGTCCTTGGCTTTAAAACCCCCTTTAGTCTTCTCTTCCCGGATGATGATCTCTTTTCTCTCCCTCTCCGTGTATTTGGGAGTACTTGTTATGTGCATATTCATAGTCACCAAAGGCATAAATTTAAACCTAAAGCTCATAAGTGCGTGTTTCTGGGATATGCCTCTACACAAAAGGGTTATTGTTGTTTCAATCCAGTTCGTGGCACCCGCTTTGTATCTCGGGGTGTCACCTTTGCAGAGTTGACTCCTTATTTTAGTGTTCCTCCTGAGGGGGAGAAATCTGATGAACCCTTTGCTATGTTTCCAGTTGTTCCTCTTCCCATCCCTTGTGAGTCTGATCATGGGGTGTCCACCTCTTCCACTGGACCCAACCCTGATCCTCCTCTTGCTTCTGCTCCTACTCTCCAAAGGTGTTACCAAAGGCGGAAATTCAGACATATGCAGGTTGTTTCCACTCCTTCAGAAGAGCATCTGGCCACTCCCACAGTTCCTGAGGAAACAGGTCAGCCCCCTATCGACCCACCTTCGACCGTCCCTGACCTTGACCTTCCTATTGCTCTTCGCAAGGGCAAGCGGAAGTGTACAACCCATTGCATCTCCAAACATTTATCTTACAGCCTTCTCTCTCCTTCCTACTACTCCTTTCTTGCTTCTGTCTCTTCACATGTGATACCCAGGTCTGTACCG